CAACAATATGAAAGACCCTATAGCAGACAGCAAAAGAACAATCTATGTTCAAAAGCTTCACAGAAATGGAAATTTACACCCAATTATAATGATGAGTTCTGGTACTTTCATTCGAATATTACTTCTCAGAATTAAAGCTAAAACTGCAGTTGCCCTCACATACCCACCTATGAACTGAGATGTCTGCAAGTAAGAGAAAAAAATTATGTCATATTCTACTTCTTGAGCTACAAATCTAATACAGTAGTAGAAAGGAAATAGTTGGAATTACATCCAATCTCCACTCTGTCACCCATTTAAACACTACGACATCTGGGGAAAGTTATCAAGCCTCTCTAAATTATAGCTTTCTCATGAGTAAAACGGTAAAAACAGTGTACCTACTTGATAAGACTATCATAATACAAATTAATTTTGATGAAATACATCAAGTGCTTACTTAGCACAATGTCTGACATGTAGTAAGCACATGTGTTAATATGGTAATACTGTTAGTAATTTAAACCAATATTGTTTGGTTCCGAGTTGAATACAAATTTCTACACCATCACATTACTTTGCCTCTTGGTCTACTTTACAATTGCATTATCAATACATTCATTTGTTCAATTTGTACTCAAATGATTTTTATTGGGTGCCTACTGCATACCAGGCACAGGGCAGGTAATAACACAAAGTCCCTGAGGGAGAAAAATAAACAAACATATAATTTTAATCCCAATAAGTCTATTAAAATATTAACAGAGTACAAGCTGATAAAAGATCATAAGGAGCTTCAGGCAGGCAGTGAGCTCTTTAGGCAGCCAGTTGGAGAAGGCCACATGGAAGTGGTAACAGTTAAGCACTTGCCCAAAATAAGGGGAGGTTCCAGCCATGCTTGCAAAGGGCTGAACACACTCAGCAGAGTCATATGAAATTCCAAGACCCCAATAAGGAACAAGCATGGATGTTCAAGAACCAGTAAGAAAGCCAGGGAGGCTAGAGTCGAGTAAGTAAAAAGTTGACAAATATAAAGGCAAAAGGGGACGTGAGACAAAGGAAGCATTAGTTAAGAAGGAGGGCTAGACTACTCAACAATTAACAAAAACGATAATACAGAAGAAACCACCAAATCAGATCCCAATCTGAATAGTTATGAAATAATTCTAAAATACATTAAATAGTTTAATGCAACACAGAAATTTCAAAGGAACCAGTGTTACCAGAGTGGAGGAAGGAGAGGAACAGGAGGAGGAGATAAGAACTGTGAAGTAAACTCTAGAGCTTGCTATGGGTGTGATGAGAAGCTGCTTGCAGTTTCTAAGCCAGAATGATTTACATATTTAATTAGAAGGCTTACATTCTAAGAGATCCATCAGCAAATCCTGCCAGCTCTACCTTAAAAATTCATCCTGTACTCTTACCACAGCCGTTACCATTCCCTATTCCACCATCTCTTAGGATTTTTGCTTGGATTACTGCAATAACTTGTTTATCAGTTTCCCCGTGTCTATCCAACCAAATTGATGCCAAAGGCAAGTCTAGGGAAAATAGAAAGAAAAGAGATTACTGGAACACCCCACAATTTTAAGGCTAAGGAAGGGAAGACTATGAATGGTCAACAAATTAGAAGAAAAACCAACAGTCTGGTATCCAGGAAGCTAAGTGAAGAATATTTATTACATCCTTGGTGAAATGAGCCTTTTATTATTATATAGTTACACTCTATATCCCTAATAATGATTTTTCAAATGTTTTCATAGGATATTAATAGAGTAACACCAAAGTTTTTCTCCTCTGGTTATTATTTGCCTGGTATACTTTGTTCCTTCCTACTTATGTTTTGTGTAGGAGTTCTGCAAATTAAAAAGCAGTATTCATCATTATTTTGTCTTAGGGAGCCAATGCATATTTAGATCTATCCAGTTTTTTTCTTCTTGCATCTGAAACCATTCTTTTCATTTTCCTTTTTCCTGAGATTTTTGTCAGGGGTTTCTTTGGTGGTAAATTCTCTAAGTAAAATGTATCTATCTCATCCTGTTCTTAAATGGTAATTTAACTAAGCAAACAAATACAGGTTGTCAGTTACTTTTTCTCAGCACTTTGAACATTTGTTTCCACTACGTTCTAGGCATCTACTATTGCTGTTGAAAAGTCTAAATTTTTCTCCTGTTGTTTTTAACACTGTCTTTTTCTCTGGTGCAACAATATTTTACTATAATTTGCCAAAGCAATAATTTAGTTTTATTAACTTTGCTTAGAATTTTATGTTAATTCTGTATTTGTATGTCATTGATTCTAGAATATTCTCAACCATTTATTTCCTCTTCCTTATTCTTTTTTATTCTCTTCTTCTAGAGTTTCTATTAGAAGTAAGTTGATCGGCAGGGCATGGTGGCTCACATCTATAATCTCAGCACTTTGGGAGGCAGAGGCGAGAGGACTGCCTGAGCCCAGAGGACTGCCTGAGCCCAGGGGTTTGAGACCAGCGTGGGCAACTTGGCGATACCTTGTATTTACAATAAACTGAGAAAAATTAGCCAGGCGTAGTGGTACATGCCTGTAGTTCCAGCTACTTGGAAGGCTGAGGCAGAAGGATTGCCAGAGCCCAGCAGGTCAAGGCCTGGGTGACAAAGTGAGACCCTAGGGGGGCAGGGGGCACACCAGGAAGGGAAGGAAGAAAACCAATTAAATAGGCAAGCTGATTTTGAAAACCTGTACTATGAAGTCAGTCAGCTAAATTCAAATCAAAGCTGTGTCACAAACTATCCATGTGACTGTAAGTTTATCAATGTTGTTGTGCCTCTGGTTTTCATCTGTAAAATAGGTATAAAAGTCTTTAACTCATAAGGCTTAGGATGAATTAATGAAATACACATTTAAGTTCTCTCTTACAGCATATAGCTGGCCTAGTGCGTGGTTCTTAGCAGCCACTCATGATGACAATATACCAAGGTTGCCATAATCAAAATTATTAACCACACAGCAGCACCTTGATCATCCTTCATTAGAGCAAGGTTAGTCTTTGAAAGATTCAATCTAGCCCAGTCTAAATGTTTCTTCCTTTTGAGAATTCAGGACCCATTAAATAAGATAGTGCTTACTCAATTTTACTTGAAATAAGGTAAAATAAATTGGCTTCAAAGAACAAAATTCAAAGATGTAGGTTCAACCAATATTTTATTAAGCACTAAAAATATCATTATAATAAGGTTTGCCTCTGCTATGTCTACTAAGATAATAGAATTGTGTTAAATAAAAGTACCCTGTGACGGAATGATCATCTAAGCCCAGGAGTTCAATACCAGCCCAGGCAACACAGTCAAACCTCCATCTTTAAAAACAAAACAAAACAAAAAACCATAGGTATTTTTATCTAACTTTTAGATATTCTTTGTTTTTAAATACTTACTTGCTTAGCCAACTAAACCAAACTATACTCTCAAGGAATATTTTGTTAGCTCAGTTCCAGCTATGTATTACATTTTAAAATACAACTATATTTCTTTGATGAACTCGGTAACTAGAAATAATTTTATTCAAATGAAGATTAATTTACTTAAACATGTTTCCTTTTCTTTTAAAATGTCTATACTGCCCGGGTGCAGTGGCTCAAGCCTATAATCTCAGCACTTTGAGAGGCCAAGGTGAGGGGATTGCCTGAGCCCACAGGTTTGGGAACAGCCTGGGCAACTTGGCGAGACCTCCTCTCTACAATAAATTTTTTTTAAAAATTAGCTGGGCGTGGTAGCACATACTATAGTTCCAGCTACTCAGAAGGCTGAGATGGAAGATCGCTTGAGTCCAGCAAGTTGACGCCAGGGTGGCCATGAGCGTGATACCACACTCCAGCCTGGGCAATGGAGTGACACTCCAACACCCAAAAAAAAAAAAAGGCCAGCCGGGCTCGGTGACTCAGTCTGTAATCCCACGCCTTTGGGAGGCTGAGGTGAGTGGATTGCCTGAGCCCGCGGGTTCGAGACCCGCCTGGGCAGTGAGACCTCATCTCTACAATAAATCAAAAAATCAGCCGGGCATGGTAGCGCACGCCTGTAATTCCGGCTACTCGGAAGGCTGAGGCGGAAGGATCGCCGGAGCCCAGCAGGTCGAGGCTGCGGTGGCCGGGAGTGGTCACTGCACTCCAGTCTGGGCGACAGAGTGAGACTCCAACTCAAAAAAAAAAAAAAGGCCTACCTTAATCTATTAGGATCCCTGGATTGTTACTTTTTGAATGCACTCATCAATCTACAATTATCTTTATTTCTGAAGCATTATCTACAAAAACAAGAACCTCAGTGTGGGAAGCCCATTTTTACAAGTTATAGTTTTCTCCATAGTAAGTAGTTTAGATGTATAATTTTCTACTAACATCTTTACTGACTTAAGGGTGAAAAAATTATTCACCATAGTGAATAATTTCTAGGGGAGAACTAGAAAAAGGACAATTATAGGGAATTCTTCTAATTCACCTTGTAATTATTTTCTTTTGACTTAATGTTTCAATAGGAGTCACAAAAAGATCACTTCCCAATTTTAGTGTTGCATGGGAATATCAAATATACACCCATTCTTTGTAGGTGAGCTCTAGATTACTAGGTGTAATAAAGCAAGCAATGTAGTCCATTAATAAGGTAATTAGACATAGTCTCCTCACAGGCATATCAAGCCTTGCTATATAAAAGAATGTCAATGAATAAGAAAGAAAAAAGGTTTAGGACTTGAATTCTATTCAGCAAAGGTTGAAACAAAGCAGAAATGGCAAGAAATGTGACTAGTAAAAGACCATCACAGTAGACTGAAATCAGATGGCTCAAGGAATGAAGTTAATGATGCCCCAAAGCTGATTAAAGAGAAGTCTAGAAGAGACCACTGGTTAGTAATTACTAACCAATTTCATTTATACAAGAGTTACTATGATAAGCAGTGTAAAAATTCAGCATATACATTCATCCTCTCGTGCATATTTTTAATAAGCAAAACATATCAAGTGTGTATCACACCAAAGTAGGTTTGTTTCTTACTTCCACTCCTCTGGTGGGTGGGCAAGCTCATACTTCTCCCTCACACTGGAGACGCCCATATCCACGTGAAGCCAGTGAACCTCCTCTGACCGCAGATGACTGAGGCGGAATCCATAGCAGGCCACATGCTTTACTTTGTGACTGTCCACTATCTTCTGAATGATGCCCTAAAACATACCCCCCACAAAAATGACTGTTATAAACTGAAAAAAAAACTGTATGCTAAAAAATAATGCAATGTTCATTTCTTTTAGTAAATTATCAGAAATCTTTGGTATAAGAGTATAAAGAAAATTATTTAGGAATTTTTGTTTTTCAAACAGTATTTTTAAGAACAAGGAAAAGTTTGGGGGAAAAAGCACAAAAAGATATTCTTCCCCTTTATTGATATACATAGGCATGTGAGCTTAAAAATACATTTCTACAACTACACCATCATCACCTCCAAACCTATAAAGCATACCAGCTATCTCTCAGTTACCACTTTCTGAGGACTAGACCCAAGGAGGGAGTAACATTTTCCAAACCAAGGAGATCATATTGCTCCCTTTCAGATGACTTAATCCCCAGTAACATTAATAACACTTTTAAAAAAAATCATACATTCAAGATCATACAATTAAGGTTGTATTTCTGTTGCTACTGACCATATAGGAAAAGTTCTTTAAATTTGGGCCTAATCAGTTTATCATTTGCTATCTGTAAGTTATGCAGTAATCTAAAATACCTCCAAATCTAATGCTTCTAGCATGGATGCCCATGAGTTCAGAGGAGAAGAAGAAAACTCTGAATGAGGTCATCAGGGAAAGCTTTCAAGAAAAGGCGAAATTTCTCCTGGGGTGTTAGAAAGGTAAGTAGCAGAACTGACTCTTGCCCTATACCCACCCAGGTATGAAGACCATCTGAGAATATGTTTGTAAATGGGCAGCACGTACTTGGAAACATGATGTAACCATCTGCTGCCCTTTACATGAAGGTAGGTGAATCACAACCCACTGCAAGCTTCTCAATCTTTTAGATGATTAAGAGGTTTTTTAAAAAATGATGCTAATATTAAAATAAAAATGTCTATGAAAAAAAGTCTTCTCTGGTTTTAAAAATCAGCAACTGAAGCTATAATATGATAATGTAAGACACATCTTCAAAGTTCCTGCACTCACCAGCTATTTTTTTACTGTGGTACAATGCTGCTGATGATATGATAAAGGATATTTCAGTCAACCCCATAAGAAAAGATAAATCATAACATGCACTACATACAAAAACTGTCAGAAACCCAGTATGTGCACACTGAGAACTGTGCTGCCAGGTTGTGTCTCTAATATTGGTACCTGACACATGGCAGACCTCCCAGAACCCTGAGTAGATGAAATGGTACCGTCGAGCTCCCTTTCAGATGACTTAATCCCAGGTACAAAGTTGTTTATCAAGCACATGCAGGGGCAGAGAGGTATGGAGGGAGAGACAGAAGAAGGGAGTAAACATGGTATCAGAGAGAAAGCATGAACAAAGAATCAGGCTGGAAGAATCAAAGACAGCTTCATAAAGAAGATGAATTCTTAACAAGACGTGCAGGATGTTTACAGCCTATAGACTTCTATGTGGAACTGAGACAGGCATAAAATGTCCTTTCTGGCCTTCTGATCCAAGGTCTAGAATTCCTGACAGGGCCACTGTAAATGACAGAAGCCCATACAAGGGTGTCCAGCGAAGACAAATCCAGCCTGAGTTCCAGTGTTTGAATCTTGTGCTCTGGGATGGGAGGTTTACATACAGGAAGAAATGTCTTTTAGTAATTCTCTCAAAGGTAACTTCTGCAGCTTCTCCTTGCCAAAACACAAATCCCTGAGCTGCAAAGGACGGGAGTTGGCACCTCTCTGAAGTTCCCACAAAAGCACCTTTGTTTCCCATCCAGTTCTGCCAGTTCAACATCCAAGACTTACCAACACTAGTTACCCTTGGTAAAGTACAGGTTGATATGTCTACTTACTCCACAGCTCACTGCTACTACTGATGCAAGAGCGACCTCTCTCATGTTATAGTCCATGTCTATACAGGCCTCCAATTATCTCAGTTCACATGGTCTATCCTTCCAAATCCAGATGTTGGGTGCAAGGCAGTACAGGGCACAAATTGCATTTTATGCCTGTATTTGTCACCAATCATACCCTAGGAGAAATCCCACCTTCTCTGAGTGCCTTCCTGATGACCACAGGAAAAGATTACCTTCATCTCCTCTGAACTCACAGGGCACATATAGGAGCCCTCCTGCAGCAAAACAGTCTCAATGGGAGAGGCTCAGCCCAGACTGTGGTGTTTATTAGGGAAAAGTAGGTTTTCTGGTCTTGGAGTTTTATGGAAAAGATGAAATTTTCGTCTATTCACTGATCATGCTGCTTGAAGAGACTCAGAATAATTTCAAGCCTGGTTTTGAGTAACAAAGCATTCCTATACAATAGTACCTTATAACTACACCAGGTTTCAACTTTCATTCTCCACTCAATAATGAAAAGCAGTAAACACACAGCAAATATTCTGAATATAAAAGGCAGGTTAAACATGTGGTTCTAAATGCACAGGTTCAATAACTTAAATAATTTCAAGAATCAAATATTTGGTCTCATTCAACAAACAACTTTGAGAACTATTTAGTGAGAAATGCATACTCAACACTACAATGCTATCATATGGAAATGCTGCCATTTCCATGTCTCTCACACACACACACACACACACACAAGTACATCTATATTCATACATTTAGAATAAAAGTGATTGTCTCTAGAGAGGTAACAGGCCATGGACTGACAATATGTCACAAAAGGTAGATCAATTATATTTAAATTTCTCATCCTGGCTTTGGAGGCACATGACAATCTAGTCTTGTTGAATACAAAACAATTGGCTACTCTGAAACCTCTATCTCACTATTTCATATCCCAGGCTTCGGAAATATATAATTTTCCTGATTAAATTCTCATAGTAGACATTCATAGCAGAAAAGTTATTTTTAAGGTTGAAAATAAAACAAATGTTCATATCATGCTTATGTCTTATCAGGAACATAGTATTAAATGTGCATAGTCACTTCACTACTGATGAATAGTTGCTTCCTTTTTTGAAAGAGAAAGAAATGTGTACATGTAAACAATACTGTCATGAAAATCCTTCCAGCTGTCATCATGCATATGTATAGGCATTCCATAGACATAAATATGCTGGATTAAAATGAACTTAAACTGAAACATTTTTGATAAGTCCAATGAAACTGCCCACCAACAAAACTATACCACTGTACTTGACATATCAGACTTTAATCATATGCTAATAATAAATAAAATCAATCTTAAAATGATTATCAATTTGGTAGGTCAAAAAAATCCCACAGGCTTTCCACTGTTATGATAATTAACATTTCTCTGGTTACTTACTAGTGAGATAAGGCTATAATTTTGTTCATGTCTAAAAGTTTTTATTATTTTATTTGGTTCAATTTGGTCACATCATTTAGACAGTTCTCTGAAACAAGTTATTTTTCATCACTGTTAGAAATAGGTAATGTGACCCTTCCCTTCATGTTCATTCTTTCACGAATCCTCCTTCCTTCCTTCCTTCTTCCCTTCCCTCCTTCCTTCCTTCATCCATCTATCCATTCAGTGAACATCCCAAGTGCCCACTATGTGTATGATGCTAATGCCACAATGATGGATGGATGCAATCCTTACCCTCAGAAGTCTTAGAGTCCCATAGGAGGAAGACATGATAATGGATACATGCAAATGAGTATTAAAGGGATTGTGGGGAAGGTTGGGGGGGCAAAAAAGGACATTTAACATTTTGATCTATCTTCTCACACTTAAGATTTGTTTGTTACTAGGAGAGGTATCTGAAGTAACACACACTGCTAACACAGTTCATCTCATTACTTCCTCCTAAGAATCATCACAGTTGATCTTCTTATAGTGTGCAGTATTTCTTTTTCTCAATGTGTTTCTTTTTTCAGATACTCTTCACATTTAGAAAACCCACAGAGTCCTACCCATTCTTCTCTGATCATGTTATTCCTGTACTGCTAGTAGTCTATCATCACTAAGTGATCCCAAAAATCCAGAAATCTAATCCTGTTGTCCATCACCTAGTACATTTCCCGTTGTTAGTTCAGTAGTAAACTAGAAGTCCTTCTAAAAGTCCTCCAAGATAAAGAATGCAATTTTGTCTCTTGATGGTCCACAGTCACTGTACTAATTCTCTACTGCTGCTGTAACAAATCACAACAAACTTAGGAGCTTAAAATACAACAAATATATTTTAGTTCTGGAGATCACAAGTCTGAAATGAGTCTCACTGAGCTAAAATCAAGGTGTCAGCAAGGATGCACTGCTTTCTGGAGGCTCTCGGCTTGCCTTTTCTAGCTTCAAGAGGGCACCTGCATTCCTCAGCTCATGATCTTCTTCCTCCATCTTCAAGCCAGCAATTCCACCGACCCTTCTTCTGTAGTCATCTCCTCTGACCATAGTGAGAAAAGACCTGTTGCTGTTAAAGATTCATGATCTCAGAGTCCTTAACCTTAATCACATTTGCAAAGTCCTTTTGGCCATGTAAGGGGACAACTGCACAGGTTTTGGGAATTAGGATGCAGACATTTTTAGGGGACCATCATTCTACTTACTGCAATTACCACCTCTAGGCTTTTATGTTCAAGAATTCTTCTTTCTCATGCTCTGCTATCTCATGTTATCCTTAACAAAGTTTTTATTCTTTTTTTTCTCTTAAGGTTCCCCCTCCCCCCCAGCTTTCTTCCTAAATGATATTCTCCATCCTATAAAGACAAAGACTTCTATAGTCCTTTCTGGAGCCAAAATTATTTGAATCCATAACATTCGATGTTCAGGTTTTTTAATGCATTTCATCTGCTCCGCTATCAGAGAAAACAGCTTGCATTTCTGACACACATAAAGTACCCAGGGATGACGTCAAACAATAAATACTGGAGGCCATGGGAAAGTCCTAGAATGTCCTCCAGGTACCCATCTATGACAGAACTCAGAGAAAACTGCCAGAAGGATTCCCTTCCCCTACAGCTATAGTTGTTTTTAAGCACAGGACAATTCTACTCACAGAATTCATAACTTCCACAAACTCACAGAATCACACATCACTTGAGTAT